TATATATATATATATATATATATATATATATATATATACACACACACACACAGATACATGAATTGTGCATCATGTGGACAAAGTGCATAGAAGGAGAAGTAAACTATGATGAGTTTATAATTCTACAAATAATTATATATTGTCAGGTTATTCAAGAACCTCACTAAAGAAGTCAGAATGTATGCTCAGAAGTTCATTGATAGAGGTAAAGACTTCAACTTAGAGCTGGCCATAAAAACTAGGATTATCACCGATGGCTTGCGCTACTCTCTTGCCACCGGAAACTGGGGAGACCAGAAGAAAGCTCACCAAGCCCGTGCTGGTGTGTCTCAGGTAACAATTTCATTTTATTTTACTACCCAACAAAGTTATATTGACAGGTAATAGATTAGTTACCCTCCACATTTCTTCAGAGTTAAATACAACTTAGTTGATGATCTATTCTTTCCAACTAGTGTGGTAATGTGTTTTCAAAGTGTAATTTTTTTCTATCCTAACCACAAAGCTAGAGTGAAAGACAAGAGGTTGCTTAAATCTCAATTAATAAAATGTGTTTTATGTTGTTTCTCTGGTTAGAACATAATGAGCTGTAATTTATGGTCATTGATTTTTTTAAACTTGACCACAAAATTATGAAAATATGTAAATTAGTTATTAAAATTTATTTCTATAATCAGAATAAATACTTGATATTCATTAGATGTGATAAAAATTATTAAAATGATAAAGAATTTCAATTATATGAAACGAGATATATACAAACGAGATGACATGGCCTTTCACTTGTGACCTGTCTCAAAAGGGTTAAAGGACTTGGTTTATTACATGTATAATAATAGATTTTTATTTAGAGCTTACACTTTTATGAGGACTGATGTTGCTGAATCCTGTTGATTTTCTTCAGGATCTAGACTCTCAAATTTATATTTGCCCCTCATAATCAACATGACTCAATATCATAAAGTTCTCACTGATGATAAATATATTGCACTCTTAAGAGATATTGTGTAAAACTTATAAGATTTGAACTTTCCAAGGATTATGTTTTTTTGTACAGGTCGAGAACCACCAAGCAATAGAACCTACTGTTAGTGGTTTGGTTTTGTCTTCTTGTTACATCTATAACTTGAGAAAGAAATATTAAACAAAGCCAAAGAAGAATATAAAGGTCTTGTTAAACTTGGAAAATGTACTGAGTTGGTTAAAACAAAAACAGATAAAGAAAAAAAGATAGGAATTTTAACTAAAGATTTTGTTGAAAAGTGCAATGGTATATTAAATGTTAGTATAAATTTTTTAAGTTAACCAAAGATATAATGTTTACAAAGGAAACTAAATCGCAATGATATCTTTAGCAGTTAAAGAAGGCAAAATTATAAACAAAAATGTTTGTGGAGAAATTAGACCAGTTTTTTTCTCATGCTGGAATGTTGAATAATTTTAACCCTCTTGCCACAGGCATCTTCTTCTGTGCATGTCATGAAGTTTTAATGAGTTACATTCAAAATTTAATTAAACTACTCTTTTATCATGGTATATTAATAAATCGGGCATAAAAATGCAGCTAATAAACCAGATTTAATAGTATACAAGTTTTAAGTTCTTAGTCTCATAAGGCAATATTAAAAAATCCTTAATTTCCCCTAGTGTGAGAATTATGTCAGTTTCTCTCTAGGTATCTCCCCTCTAATTTATTTACCATCCCTACAAAAAGTATGAAATTTAACGTCTGCAGACTTACAACCCTTGAATCCGGGTTTTGATACCCATGGTGGGCAGAGCACAGATAGCCCATTGTGTAGCTTTGTGCTTAATTACAAACAAACAAATATTACTTAGACATGGTTCAAAGGGCAATGAAACAATAAAATTTAAGTAAAGATAGATGCATTCTGTTACAAGTTTAAAGCTATTTATGATAAATAAATTTAGTTTTATGTTACATTTTGAAGTCATTCTAAAAAGAAAAACATGGTAGTGTAGATTTATTGGAATTTTTACCTTTACCACTAAAGGTGAATGGAGGTTATGTTTCTACCCCTGTGTTTGTCAGCAAGAATTCTCGAAAAAAGTTGAATAGATTTGGATGAAAGTTGATATACATTTGGACTATGACCCAACTTAGAAGCAATTAGTTTTTGGAGGGTCAAGGTCACAGCAAGGTCACAAAAATCCACAAAAATTCTTATCTGTTAACATGGGGACTAATTTTTCACACTATATTTGCTCCACAACTCAGTCAAAAATAATTGGATTTTGATGAAACTTGGATATATGTATAATAAT